AGGAGTAGAAAGATAGATTTGTGTGTCATCAGCATAGAAATGGTACTTAAAGCCATGGGAGTTTATCAAGTGACCAATGGAGGAGGTGTAGATGGAGAAGAGAAGGGGTCCAAGGACAGAACCTTGAAGGACCCCTACAGAAAGAGGAAGTGGAAAGGAGGAGACAGAGTTATAGGCAATGCTGAAGGAGTGCTGCGATAGGTAGGAGGAGAACCAGGAGAGAGCAGAGTCTCGGAGGCCAAGAGAGTGGAGTCTTTTGAAGAGGAGGAGATGGTCAACAGTATAAAAAGCCGCAGAGAGGTCAAGTAGTAAGAGTATGGAGTAGTGACCATTGGTTTTAGCAGTTAGTAAATCATTAATGAGTTTTAGTAGGGCAGTTTCAGTGGAGTGTAGTGAGCAAAAGTCAGACTGTAAAGGGTCAAGAAGGTTTTTGTCAGTGAGGAAGGAGCTCAGGCGATTGTAGACTAAGCGTTCTAAGAGTTTAGAGGTAAATGGCAGCAGGGAGATAGGTCTTAAGTTGTTCCGGCTGAAGGTGTCCAGGGAGGGCTTTTTAAGTATGGGAGTGATGTGTGCATGCTTTAGAGAGGAGGAGAAGGCATCACTAGAGAGGGAGAGACTGAAGATGTAAGTGAGGGAGCATAGGATAGAAGAAGAGGGTGACCGTAGTAGTTGTGAGGGGACAGGATCCATGGGGCAGGTGGTGAGATGGGCTTCTGAGAAAACTTTAGTGACCTCTTCAGTAGTAACAAGGTCAAAAGAGGAAAGTGTTGAAGGAGGTTTAGTATAAGGTATGCTAAGTAGGATAGATGTCTGTGCAGTGGAAATGTCCCTACGAATTGCATCAATTTTGTTTTTGAAATGATTTGCAATCTCGTAAGCAGTGAGTGAGTTACTGGGTGGAGGTGGAGAAAGTAGAGAGTTAAAAGTAGAGAAGAAATGATGAGGACTAGATGACAAGGTATTAATAAGAGTGACAAAGTAGGCTTGTTTGGCAGCATGGAGGGAGGAATTGTATGTTAGGAAATCATATTTTTATAGGGTGAATGCTTGCTGAGATTTGGTTTTACGCCACAATCGCTCCAGTGCATGCCTATGTCTCTTAAGATTTCTGGTGTAGTCAATTTGCCACGGTTGTAATGGTCCGGGCCTGATACTTTGTGTAGTTAGAAGAGCAAGTGAGTCTCTAGTGTGGATGAAAGTGAACTGTTCTAGACAACAGTGGCCAGGTCAGGGCAGGACAAGGGAGAAATTCTGTCTTAACCAAAGCAGACCAGTTTTGATAACACACTATATTCCTGACCCACATATTGCCTATTAAAATGATCTCTTAGATTGTAAGCTCCAAGGAGCAGGGCCCTCCTAACCCTCTTGTATTGAACTGTATTGTTGCTGTCAGGGGCGGACTGACAACTCATGGGGCCCCTGGGCAATAGGGGATCATGGGGCCCCTGTGTCCTTGCCCATACTCAAAAAAGCCTATGAAAAAGGTACCAGGGGCATCTCACGGGGCCCCCTACTGACCCTGGGCCCTCAGGCAGTGCCAGAGTTTCCAAATGGTCAGGCCGCCCCTGGTTTTTTTTATACTTACCTGTGCTGCAAATTCTGGACTCATATATAGGCCAGTCATGTGGCCATATGACTATGTGTATTCATTCAGACTTAACTGGTGGTGTTTGGGCATTGATTTATAGACATGGTTGGCCACTCAATGGCTCTGCCTAACATTTGATTCCCCTTTCATAGCCACATGATCAGATGCTTAGTAATAACATCATGTGGACAGCCACTGTAGAAGCCTAGTATACTCTGCACAACACATTATTAGAAAGCTGCAGTTTATAATGAATTATAGGTCTTCTTTGAGTTTAGGCAGTGCAGCATGCACTAATTGTGCTGTTGGCTTTCTCTGTTCACAATGCATACTAAAGGCGAGATGTAGGCAACATGATAATTAAGTTATGCATAACACCGTACTGATCTTGCTGAACTTTCATTGGTGCAAATACCATAAAGCATGTATGTTTCTAATACATGGATATCAGGGACATGCAGCTATACACTTTTTCTTGACTTATTCAACCCATTGCAAATAGTTGTGGGTAGCAGGTAACCAGCTACTATGGACTTCATTCCTATTAATAAATGTAGGAAATGTTTAACTTCCAGAAACCTATTAGATACCTAGATTTGTTATTGCAGCTTTTGCCAATGTCTGGCTTGCCCTGTATTTTCTGCTGCACAGTAAGGCTCTGAAATTCTTTGTAAACTGCTAGTGCAATCAGCTTCTTCAAAATAAACGAGGAACATTTTGACTCCAAGCCAGCTTTCTAATTCGGATACAAGCAGTTCTGATTGTCAAGATAACTGTGATGAATACGAGCCAAGTCACGGCTGATTTAGACAAATATCAAGCTATTCCTTCTCTCCCCTATGTGGGAACTCAGCTGCTTTGAATCGGGCAAATATCCGTTCCCTGTAAAAGAAGCCGATGACAAAGAGTTAAAGCTATGCTACCTCTCAGTATGCTTCTGGCAGTGGAAGCATTTTGTTTTCTGCTGAGCACAATTAAGAAATGGTGTGCTTTCAAAATATCTGTAAGCTGTAGCATTTCCATGTGTTCTTTTTCATCTTCCAAGCGGAGCTTCACATTTTTTTACACGCAGTGAAATGTACTTGAAATGGGTCATGACTCTATGATTAGTATTATTGTAATAAGGTATTACTTGCTACTGAAGGTATATGTACGATAAGACACATTGGTAGATGTCAGCAGCTTTACTGATCACTTCAAAGGGAAAACACAAAGTTCAGGCGGAGCTGGGAATACTGAGCAGAAAAATACAAAATTACTTTATACAGCAGACTTTTCAGACACAGCTTTTTGCACAAAGATATAGTTCAACGAGAGCAGATGCAATGCTTTGTACCAAGGCCTTTTTGAATCTCAAGGTAGCTGTCTGTATGTAGGCTAACTGGCTGGATCAAGGTAGTCCTATATAATCCTCTGCACAAGGGTGACAGTACAGTCCTTACTTTTAGGTAGTATGGTGCACAGAAAACACACTCCATTAATACTGGGCACTGCTATTACATCGTACGCTCCATGGTACCTTTTCAGGAAACAGCTGGAGTTCCAATACTTAGTTCTTAAAATGGTTGTAAAGGCTGAAGGTTTTTAACCTTCACATTCTATGCATGAAGGTAAAAAACCTTCTGTGTGTTGCTCCTCCATAGTTTCCCCTAATACTTACCTGAGCCCGATCTCTATCCAGCGCTGTGCATGAGAGCCTCAGCTCTCCCAGGTCTCTCTTTCGATATTCCCTGAGACACAGCAGTTGGAGCCATTGGCTCCTACTGCTGTTAATCACAAGCAGTCAGGAAACTGAGATGTGCTGAGTTGCGCTCTGTGTGTCTTAGATGTTGCGCTCAGGAGCTAGCATGTACCAGTGCCCCCATAACAAGTGGCTTTCTATGAGGGTACTGAGCAGGAGGGAGGGTTAAGGAGCGCCAGAGGGGGACCGAGAAAAGGAGGATCAGGGCTGCTCTGTGCAAAACCAATGCACAGAGCAAGTAAGTATACCATGTTTGTTATTTTCTGAAAATAAAATTGAGCCTTTAATATCACTTTAAAGGATATGTTCACCTTTAAAAAAAAAATAAATAAATAAACAAATGCACATTTTTTTGCAGGTAAACAAAATGTGCATTTATTTTATTTCTAAGGAGTCTGCAGAGCATTGCAAACTGCAATCAGCAGATCATAAGTGCAATATCAGGTTCTTGCAAACTCTCAGCATAGTTATAACCCAAATCGTACCTACACTTATGATAAGCATTCCAAACCAAAAATTAAGTGATATATTAACAGCATCTACTGTCTAAGTGTGGATTCACACATGTGCATTGCGAATTGAAGCTCCGTTTTTACAGCTAATTGACAAAGAAGTTGTTTAGCGGTTCAGGTCAGGTTTAGATCATGTTCAGGTCGGGATTGGATCAGGATCAGGTCTGGATTTTATCCTGTTCACAACTGAATGACATGTGCAATTCAGAAGCGTTTCTATAGAAGTCAATGAGCATGAATTTGCACCTGAGCCGGACCACGCTGCTCAGAAAACTGACAGGACTCTTTTTCAATTCGCACTGAATCCGAACTTTGGTTGCACCACATATATGTGAAAAGACACAATAGAAACCAATGTTATTTCACATGTCATGCAAATTGAATGATGTTCAAAATGCATCCAATTCGCATATACAGTATGTGAACCGGCTCTAAAGGTGATGAATCACCCCACTGAACATACAGAAAATATCATGTAGTTGAGAAAGAAGACAGCGCTTGCCAATAATATACAAAAACAATAGATTGCTGTTCGAAAAACCACACACACACACAAAAAAAAAGAAAATAAGAATAAATAAATAATACTAAATAAATCACATCCATATAAAATTCTGCGCAAGGAAGAAAAAGTGCTGTTAAAGGTGGTGTTCCCAAGTGGGGAATGTTCCAGAGAGAGGAAGAATCATGGGGATAGGGATAACACACCGCAGTCACCAGATTATATTGACCACTTGTTTTAAACACAATGAAATATTGTGCTATAACAAATACATGTAAATATATAAGAATCAATGAAATTAAAATTAAATCAGTAAAAGTCCAATTCATCAAACACATAAATACTTCAAAAAGTCAACCGAACAAAATTAATAAAATTTGATTTAAAAAAAGTCCTTCTGATCCACTAAAGTCACCACGTGAGCAAATGAAATTAATTGAGTAAGTGCATGAAACTTCACTCAAGTGTCACCACGTGCTCCAGAAAAGAAAACCCCCCCCAATTCAGTGGCACTCACCAGATGTGGCCCATCTAAACTTGATAGGCAATCGTGCTTATGGTGAGTGTCAGACGTTATAAGGATCCTCAATCATTTAGCCCTCGGAAATTAGAGGCTGATTAGATGGCGGGACATCCTCCAAAATATTTACTCCATCACTGATATTTACCAATGTCTTGGCCTCTGGTGACTGGGAACTGCTTTCCATTCACATCTGCATAAAGTGCAGCATTCTGTGCCCCATTAGAGCATGTCAGAGAGATCTCTACAATGAAAACCACTTCAGACGATATAACTGCATCAGAGGTAGTATAGCTGGATGGGACAATGGAAGGTTCTGTGCAAGTTTCAGCTCTACAGGCCACTGAACACTCCAGCCATATGGTGGCTTTGTTGCTGATTGCTGTGGCCTGTATAGCTGAAACTTGCACAGAACTTTACATTGTCCTGTCCTACTATACTACATCAGATGCAGTTATATTGTCTGAAGTGATTGTAACATTACCGCCCAACATGTTTTGTCATGGCTGGCCCAAGGTGGAACTATACAGTCCTTTCCACAAGTGTAATAGAACTTATAGGCAGGATTGTGCACTGTAGAATAGAAAGACACACTCCAACAATACTGGGCACTGCTATTACAGAATCAGCTCCATGGTATCTTTTCACGAAAAGCTGGAGATCCAATACTTAAGACTCCATTCCCACCTGAGCATTTTGTAGCTTGAAGCTCCGTAATGCTCAACCTTCAAAATACCAGTGGATTTAAATTGTGCCTGTTCACCCCTGAACATGAACTTTTTTACTTGAGTTTACTTGAACTTGAATTTTTGTAGCTTGAAAAAGTACATGAGCTTCTTTTGAGCAACAAGCTTTAAGCATTTTTTGACTCCAATGGACTTCATGGGGAGCACCTAAAAAACGTGAAAAAAAAAAACCAAAACAATCCATTGGCTAATAATAATTAAAAAAAACACCTAAGCCACAAACACCCACCACCAAAACAGTAAAAAAATGTATGTACAAATGCCAAAAAAATCCTACAAAACGAGTAAAGGCTTATGCTGTACGACAGTTTCTTGAACAGGTCAACTTCCAACAGACTGTAGAGCTTCTTAATCAACTTTTTAGCAGTTTTCCTACTAGTTGGAGGAAAGAAAGAAAGAAAGAGAAAAAGAATTATACTACACAAGGCCAGTTTCTCCTAATCCCTTCTGAATCCTTTTGAAGCATATCTTTACGCTCTGCCTATTCCAAAGAAGCTTTCTTAGTTTGCCCTCCTGACACTGCCAGCCCAAATGATGAAGGCAGAGTACATCAACTAATTTTGCAAGGGTGTGCCCAGCCTCCTTCAGGTGTAGATGCATCTCTATTCCATAGTAAGGCTGAAGAGAGTGATTTAGGTGGAACCTGAAATTTCACCAAAATGTAAATTCTTAGGTGCATATGTCTACATGTGACATTTACCAAACATTCATTAATTGTCATTTGAAGCACACATACAGTTCCTTTAAAATTCATCTGTAGTGAATGTCTGCTAAATGCCAGCTTAACTGCATTATCAATGATCCCCTTAGGCCCATTCATACTTGCAAATAGGGCCGTGTGCAATTACAAGCAGGGGTTCCTGGCAATTAGCTGCAGGAGGCAGACCTATTGAAAGCAACTAGTGGTGAACAGTGCCTGCAGCTAATTGCGGACGCTCACATGTAATCTCTCATGAACAGCTGCCATTAGCTTTAGGAACTGTCAGCCTCCTATTGCTTTCAAAGGGGCTGCCTCCCGCAACTAATCACTAGGAACCCCTACTGGGATCCCTGTATGTAATCACACACAGGTCCATTCACAAGTGTGAAGGGGACCTTAATCTTGCTCAATAAACAGGTGAAATCTGTTTTAAAACTTATAATTTTTTTCTTTTATTAAGAAAGTATGTTATTTAGATATACTGTATTTAGGGTAGTTTAGCTTATTTCATGCAGTGTTTTTGTATTTTTATTTTATCCGTGTTTGTGTATTGTTGCAATAAAGTGAAGTTTTTTTTGTTACTGTGGTTTTAAATTTTACAAAAATCACTTGAGTTTTACCATAATGTCTAAGAAGAGAAAATGCCCATTTTTTTTTATTATCTATCCCACATTTGATCCCTGCACCTCACCCAGGTGTTAAAAACCTGCCTGCTTTAAATGGAGCTGACTATCCACACAAAATATCCACATAGTGATTTGACTCCCCTGCGTGAGAGTTCATTAATTGCAGCACCAACAATGCATACTGAGCCATGCATGCACTGTTGAAATATATGTTGTTTGGATGGACAAAATCCTTATAGCTTACAGTATGTGTAACATACACATGGGGAAAAACAATGGAGAACTGACCTGATATTGGTCAGCTGTGTGGTGCAGAAGTACCACAGCTGGGCTTCTATATAGTAAGATAGTACAAATGGCAATGATGATGTGTAATGTTCTGTATTCCATAAAAATCAATAAGATTAGAGATGAGCGAAGTATTCAAAAATTCGATTTGACTGATTCGGCGAATTCGTGGACAATATTCGATTCGAGTCGAATATATTCGCTGTGAATTTAACTTAAAAAAGGGTGTTTCTAGGCTTCAGAGAGACTTAATATTAGTGCAGAACACTGTACCTTTAATTTAAATGCCCTTGGAGTCTGCTGGGGAAGAGAAATAATACTGTCAGTCAGTATGACATGCAGATGAGTGCCGTCAATCTTAGAATCACCGCACACTTCACTCATTTGGCCAGTCACGGGGCCAAAACCAGTGTTTGTAGCCACAGTGTGGCGGTGGAGGCAGCAGCAATGGAAAATGGAAACCAGCAGGAGTGTGAGGAGACCTCAAAGTGGCACATGGCAGAGTGGGAGCAATGGGAGGCGGTATAGGGACCCATGTCACACTGTGGACCCAGCAGCAGCGTGACCAGGCGGTACGGAGGCCCATGGCAGATTACAGGCCTGGCAGCAGCAATGGGAGGCCCGTAATCTGTCAGCACCCTAGGACAAAATGGAACCCACCAGCAGTGTGAGGAGACCTGAAAGTGGCACATGGCAGAGTGTGGCGATGGAGACAGCAGCAATGGGAGGCCGTACAGGGACCCATGACAGACTCTGGACCTGGCAGCAGCATGAGGAGGCGATATAGGGGCCCATGGCAGATTAGGGGCCTGGCAGCAGCTATGGGAGGCCCGTAATCTGCCAGCACCCTATGTCAAAAAATTCAACACACCAGCAGTGTGAGGAGACCTGAAAGTGGCACATGGCAGAGTGTGGCGATGGAGACAGCAGCAATGGGAGGCCGTACAGGGACCCATGACAGACTCTGGACTTGGCAGCAGCATGAGGAGGCGGGCGGTATATAGGGGCCCATGGCAGATTAGGGGCCTGGCAGCAGCTATGGGAGGCCCGTAATCTGCCAGCACCCTATGTCAAAAAATTCAACACACCAGCAGTGTGTGAGGAGACCTGAAAGTGGCACATGGCAGAGTGTGGCGATGGAGACAGCAGCAATGGGAGGCCGTACAGGGACCCATGAGAGACTCTGGACCTGGCAGCAGCATGAGGAGGCGGTATATAGGGGCCTATGGCAGATTAGGGGCCTGGCAGCAGCTATAGGAGGCCCGTAATCTGCCAGCACCCTATGTCAAAAAATTCAACACACCAGCAGTGTGTGAGGAGACCTGAAAGTGGCACATGGCAGAGTGTGGCGATGGAGACAGCAGCAATGGGAGGCCGTACAGGGACCCATGACAGACTCTGGACTTGGCAGCAGCATGAGGAGGCGGTATATAGGGGCCCATGGCAGATTAGGGGCCTGGCAGCAGCTATGGGAGGCCCGTAATCTGCCAGCACCCTATGTCAAAAAATTCAACACACCAGCAGTGTGAGGAGACCTGAAAGTGGCACATGTTTGGGGCATGATTCATGGCGGATTTAGTCAGTTGTGTCAGGAACTGGTGGTTTGAAATCCAGACTAATCCACGCCTGATTCATTTTCACAAACGTGAGTCTCTCCACACTTTGGGTGGACAGTCGTGTCCTCCGCGGAGTTACAATACCTCCTGCCGCACTAAACACGCGCTCCGATGCCACGCTACTGGCCGGGCATGACAGCCTTTCAAGGGCAAATTCAGCTAGTTGGGGCCAAAGGTCAAGTTTCGTTGCCCAGTAGTCAAGGGGATTGTCTACCTCGGTTGGCAGGGTGCTGTCCAAGTAGGCCCAAGCCTGTTGTTTGAGCTCCTGCTCCAGGTCCACCTGCTGCTGCTGCTGCTGCGGCGGCTGGTTAGTAGTTTCCTCACTGCGCTGGTGAAGAAAGCTACTCATCATCGACTGCAGACTGAGGCAGCCGCTGCTGGTGGAGCTGCCACTGCTCCTACCACCCCACCCCTCCCCTGCTGCCATGGCAGCGGAACGCGAGCGCACAGGGCCCACAGTGTCTGAGGATGGACATTGGCGCAGAAAGGCAGAGACCAACTGACTACATAGGTGGTTTTTATAGTACGTTATTTTGGCCTCCCTCTCAGCAGGTGTGAAAAAGGCCACCATTTTTGAACGGTAGCGAGGGTCCAACAAGGTGGACAGCCAAAAGTCATCCCTCTGTCTGATGGTTATTATTCGGCTGTCGCTACGCAAGCAACCGAGCATGCTATGGGCCATTTGTGCCAAGGAATGCGAGGGACTCCCTGCCTCCATCTCCACAGCATACTGCCACGGTGCGTCTGGGTCCTCTGTCTCCTCCTCCTCCTCCTCTACCAGATGCTCCTGCTCCTCCACTCCTGTCCGCTGAGTGGAAAAACCACCCATTTCACTCAATAATTCCTGAGCACAAATGTCCTCCTCTACCTCCTCCTCTTCTTCCTGTCCTGCCCCCAGGGGTCATGTGGCGTTGAGATCTGTGCGCCACGTCTACCGCACCCTGACCAGCCATTGTTAACAGCATTTGTTCCAGGACGTGCAACAGAGGAATGACGTCGTTCATCCCATAGTCCTGCCGACTCACGAATAGCGTGGCCTCCTCAAAGGGCCTGAGCAAGCGGCAGGTGTCACGCATGAGCTGCCAATGGCTGACATCGAAGTTACACAGGGGAGTACCTTTATCCGCTTGTAACATCAGGAAATCGGTGATGGCCTTTCGCTGTTCGTAAAGGCGGTCTAACATGTGTAGGGTTGAATTCCACCTTGTTGCAACGTCGCAGATCAGGCGATGCTGTGCAATTCCGTTCTGCCGCTGCAGCTCAAGGAGGGTGTGCTTTGCGGTGTAGGAATGGCTGAAATGCATGCAAAGTTTACGTGACATTTTAAGGATGTCTTGCAGTGGGATGGTGGATTTTAGGAACCGCTTGACAACCAGATTGAACACGTGAGCCATGCATGGCGCATGGCACAACCTTACT